CCTCCCCTTGCGGACCACGCCTCTTTTCCCGCCGAGGTAACATGCTCACTATACTTCACACGCTGAAATCAAGCCATTGGGCTAGTACTTGTGTGGTGCCGCTTCAATAGTCGTGGTACCCGGTATAAGCGGCGGTTACATCTCTAAGCACGAGTGTCCATTCCTATACCAAATCCTATATATCCCTGTTTTGGTGTCCGGTATAGTGCCGGTGAATTACTCTGGGCACATACGTACCGCGGTGAGCGCTGACTGGTCGAGCGGTTTGATTCGGGTTCTGAATCACGCAAAATATCACCCACCCTGGGTCCATTTTCGAAGCTGGATTAAGCTCCCTCCATACCTGAGAGGGTGGCAGTGCCGGAAACAGTGGCGTTGGAAGCGTCTCATGGAGATCTTTTTCCCGTTCACGTGGAGTACCTGGCCTTTGAAAATCGCCGAGCTATGCACGCACGCACACGAACTACCGCAAGAGGTGGAGAAATGGCGCCCTCCCTAGACCGACGTTCGAAGCTCGATTGCTCCACGACCAAGATTGCCTGTACGTACCGTATACCGTACGGTGGATTCCGTAAGAGGCGGAGAGATGGCACCCCCTCCTAGACCGGCTTTCAAAGCTGGATTGCTCCACGACCAAACTCGTTCCATATTTTCTTTTCTCGTTTCTCGGCGTTCGCCTTCTTTCCCCAAGCAGCATTCAGCGATATCGTGTTACCTGTTCTTTTTTCGTGGCCATTGTCGGTTTTCGACGTCCGTCCACAGGCGTACTGCTGCAACGATAAGGACAAGGAAGCCCTCGAGAGCTCTCTGTGTCCCCTGGCACGAGCCAACGTCGACCTCGGGATGATGGAGGGCGCCTGCAAGGGTTCCTCTCGAGTCATCCTCCAAAGGTCAGTCGCTCAGCCAGCATTCGCTTTGTCTGTGACGGTTACACATGACGATTGGGAGCTAGAATATCTTCTTTGCCTTGAGACGGTTAGGTGTTAACGCGGGGGAGTATTCTCTTCTACATCATTGGTGCCTCTCGAGTCAGCGTTCGCTTTGTCTGTGGTAGGGAGATACATGTCTATTCGGGGCAATGTCCTCTCCTCTCTGTCTGTGACTATTACACGTTCGGGATATTTTTGTCCCATTTTATGTGTGATGGTTACACATGTCGACTCCGGGGAGTTTCCTCCTCTTAATCGGTTCGGCTGTGGTCGTCTTCCGTGGATTGTCGGTGACGGGCAGATGCATACCGGTTTGACCTGTGTGTCTCTTCGCTTATTTGTCTGTGACAGGTAGATATCGATGCGGGGCGATGTATCTCTGGCCTCCTTTGCCTTGTGACGGGTAAATACATACCGGTTTGACCTACTTATGTGTCTCTTCGCTCCTTTATCTGTAACGGGCTCCGCTGCTCTACGTGGTTTTGGTGACGACTGGTACGTGTCCACTTTGAGCCATTTTGTTTTCCGTAGTTTTGGATGTGACGGTTACGTGTCGATTCGGGGTATTTCGTCTCTACTCCGTGGTTTTTGGTAAATGCGGGTTACGTGCCGGCCTAATTGTCTCTTCCAGGGCATTTTTTTTGGCTCTCTGCTACGAGTTTAAGCGTCTTTTGAAAGACAACTCTCTCTCTCTCCGCCCCTCTCTCTCTCTTTGTGTCTGTCTGCCTGTCTTGTCTGTCTGTCTGTCGGTACAGAGCAGTCTTCTTACAAATATTATTTTTTCCGAGGCTGTGTATGTCTTTCTTTCTTTTCTGCGTTTCCTGACATCCGCTGCCCTCCATTAAAGACAGGAGGAGCATGCCGTCGGTGTGTGCATGTGGTGTAGGGCCCTCCCTCTCACCCCCTCTATTTACTTCTACTACATAAAATGCATGCCAACCTTTTTTCATCCCTCTGCGCTTCGGACAAACGGCTGCCTACCGTAGGTTGCACAAGATATCACCCCCCCCCCTTGACCGATTTTCAAAGCTCAATAACTCCACGAAGAGGATGGCGGAATCAGCGGTTACGTTTTCGGAAAGCCCTCGAACAAGATGGTTCCGATGCCGCCATTTTCGGCACCGTTTCCACTCTTCCTGCCGAGGTATCGAGCTTCGAAAATCGGTCCAGCGGGTGTTTTTTCTTATGCAACCTACGGTATGCTCGTGTTTCACGTCAGAGGTTGCAGAGTATAGGTCGACTCTCAAGACGTTGACATAACCGAGATTACCGAGGTTAACGAGTGCACAGGACATGCATGCCCATGCAAGGCATAAGGCGGATCTCGCTTCTACAAACGCATACATACCTACAGATACACGAAAACCCGCTCGCACTTCAGAACCCAGGAGTTAAGAATTTGAGCCTAATAAAAATTTTAATGTTGAAGAATTTGAGCACAATTTGTGAGCTCTCTAATGAACACCTACGCCAAAACCTATACAATTGTGTAGCGGCCATTCATAGCAGGGCCCATGGCCCTAGGAACTAAGAACCCAGGCCTCGGGCGAAACTGTTGTCGAGTGCGGGCGCGCTCTGTACACGAAACCTCCGAGATCTCCTTAGATCCGTACAACTAACGAAAACACAGCACGGGCAGGTTTAGTACAGTACAATACTGCCAGTATTTTCAGTATTGCAGTACCTTTGGCCATAATATACTGTACTGCACGCTTTAGTACAGCTTTCGATACTGGAATAAAAATACTGCACGCTTCAGTACAGCTTTCAATACTGGAATAAAAATACTGCACTCTCCAGTACAGCTCTCGATACTGGAATATACTGTACTGGCAGCACGGCTCTCGGTACTGTACTGTACTGGACGCTTTAGTACAGCTTTCAATACTGGAATAAAAATACTGCACTCTCCAGTACAGCTCTCGATACTGGAATATACTGTACTGGCAGTACGGCTCTCGGTACTGTACTGTACTGCACGCTTTAGTACAGCTTTCAATACTGGAATAAAAATACTGCACTCTCCAGTACAGCTCTCGATACTGGAATATACTGTACTGGCAGCACGGCTCTCGGTACTGTACTGTACTGGACGCTTTAGTACAGCTTTCAATACTGGAATAAAAATACTGCACTCTCCAGTACAGCTCTCGATACTGGAATATACTGTACTGGCAGTACGGCTCTCGGTACTGTACTGTACTGCACGCTTTAGTACAGCTTTCAATACTGGAATAAAAATACTGCACTCTCCAGTACAGCTCTCGATACTGGAATATACTGTACTGGCAGCACGGCTCTCGGTACTGTACTGTACTGGACGCTTTAGTACAGCTTTCAATACTGGAATAAAAATACTGCACTCTCCAGTACAGCTCTCGATACTGGAATATACTGTACTGGCAGTACGGCTCTCGGTACTGTACTGTACTGCACGCTTTAGTACAGCTTTCAATACTGGAATAAAAATACTGCACTCTCCAGTACAGCTCTCGATACTGGAATATACTGTACTGGCAGCACGGCTCTCGGTACTGTACTGTACTGGACGCTTTAGTACAGCTTTCAATACTGGAATAAAAATACTGCACTCTCCAGTACAGCTCTCGATACTGGAATATACTGTACTGGCAGTACGGCTCTCGGTACTGTACTGTACTGCACGCTTTAGTACAGCTTTCAATACTGGAATAAAAATACTGCACTCTCCAGTACAGCTCTCGATACTGGAATATACTGTACTGGCAGCACGGCTCTCGGTACTGTACTGTACTGGACGCTTTAGTACAGCTTTCAATACTGGAATAAAAATACTGCACTCTCCAGTACAGCTCTCGATACTGGAATATACTGTACTGGCAGTACGGCTCTCGGTACTGTACTGTACTGCACGCTTTAGTACAGCTTTCAATACTGGAATAAAAATACTGCACTCTCCAGTACAGCTCTCGATACTGGAATATACTGTACTGGCAGCACGGCTCTCGGTACTGTACTGTACTGGACGCTTTAGTACAGCTTTCAATACTGGAATAAAAATACTGCACTCTCCAGTACAGCTCTCGATACTGGAATATACTGTACTGGCAGTACGGCTCTCGGTACTGTACTGTACTGCACGCTTTAGTACAGCTTTCAATACTGGAATAAAAATACTGCACTCTCCAGTACAGCTCTCGATACTGGAATATACTGTACTGGCAGCACGGCTCTCGGTACTGTACTGTACTGGACGCTTTAGTACAGCTTTCAATACTGGAATAAAAATACTGCACTCTCCAGTACAGCTCTCGATACTGGAATATACTGTACTGGCAGTACGGCTCTCGGTACTGTACTGTACTGCACGCTTTAGTACAGCTTTCAATACTGGAATAAAAATACTGCACTCTCCAGTACAGCTCTCGATACTGGAATATACTGTACTGGCAGTACGGCTCTCGGTACTGTACTGTACTGCACGCTTTAGTACAGCTTTCAATACTGGAATAAAAATACTGCAATCTCCAGTACAGCTCTCGATACTGGAATATACTGTACTGGCAGCACGGCTCTCGGTACTGTACTGTACTGGACGCTTTAGTACAGCTTTCAATACTGGAATAAAAATACTGCACTCTCCAGTACAGCTCTCGATACTGGAATATACTGTACTGGCAGTACGGCTCTCGGTACTGTACTGTACTGCACGCTTTAGTACAGCTTTCAATACTGGAATAAAAATACTGCACTCTCCAGTACAGCTCTCGATACTGGAATATACTGTACTGGCAGCACGGCTCTCGGTACTGTACTGTACTGGACGTTTTAGTACGCAGTTAAATACTGGAATAAAAATACTGTACTGTACTAAACCTGCCCGTGAAAACAAGGTCATTCCCAAACAAGACCAGGGAGGGGCCACGCTGACCCTCACCCCAACCCAAACTTTAGCCGATTCCATACTTTACGTCCACGTGTGTTTGTTCGCTTTGAAAAATTACGTGAATTAAAGTGAGACAAACGACCCTGTCCGCCGCGCCCTCCGCAGGCGGAGCATGTCGGAGGAGATCCCCGTGCTCGACCTCTGCGCCCTCTACTCCTGCTACCGGGGCCACGGGAAGACTATCGACCGCTCCGACTGGTTCCTCGACTTCAGGAAGGAAGCCCTCAAGCACAAGACACGCATCCCCCCCGCCGCCAAAGCCACGGCGCCCTCCAAGGGAGGGAAAAACAAGAAGCAGTCCTTCCGCCCACGAGAAATTCCAGGCGAGCTTGGGGCGTACTCTGGCGTTTCGCATGTCTTTGTGGTTAGACCATTGACCACGCGTCCTCGAGCGAGGAAGGAGCATTGTTCCCACAGGACCCATCAGATCGGGGGGGGGGGGGTACTCATAGTCGTGCATGCCGTAGTCGTTAGACCATTGACCTCGCATCCCTACAAAGCCGGGACGGAGCACGCCGG